AATTACCCAGTATGCTCCTACGGCCAGATAACTCATTTATTGTGATAGTTCTCTTTAGAACAGTTTTATCGTATCCCTTTAAAGAGTTTAAAAAACTTTCTTCTATTCGCACTTCCGCAGCATTGTTTATGGCTTAATCGTATGGCTTAATTCATTTTCTTTCGAAGAGTCATTACGCAAGTGCAGATTTCAAACGCATCGCTTGCTGAATAAGGAAAAAGAAAATGTGATTATCTTTGAATTAACTGTTTTACCATCAACAAAAAGATTAAAAACAAGTAAATAGTAAGGAATTTTTCACGAGCTAAAAGGCTATACTTCATTCTCAAAGATGCCATATGTACAGGAATTCAGTAATTTCATTACTGAAACATATTATGAACGCGCTACACACATGGTCCCAATATACTGTAAAGTGAGAACAAATCTAGGTAATACCACTCGTTTACGAAACGAACTGATTGAAATCATGTTTCTGCACCAAGTTGTACAGAGTGCTTATTGAGTACAAATATCTATAAAAACGTAACTATTATCAATAAACGTCCTAGTCAATCGAGACAAGCAGTGATAAACCTGCGTGATTGAAAAATTTCCGATATTTCTTTTCAACATTAGATACACAGAAAAGAAACGATTATAAGTATATTATAAGTATATACATATAACGAAGAGGGATAAATGAGTGTTTTAGTCGCGAAAATATGTTCAGCGAGATATTTCAATTACGTTCTGTCCACTAATAATTTTCCCTTTCATACAGAAGAAAATGATGAAACTGTTAGGTTATTAAATAAAAAATTAAGGATTCGGTTTAAGGAAATTTTTTAATCCGAAACTTAAATGAGAATAGAGAAGGACATAATGAAAAATAGGAAGAAAAAAGGCAAAATTATCACGTTTATTATAATCGAAGCATTGACTTCGATGAAAGAGACGAAGAGGAAATCCAAGGCGAGAAAAAGGACGACAGAATTAAATTACCACGTACAATGAAGACACATAGCAAACTGAAGCAAGAAAGAACTGCCAGCCAACTGAGAATCCTGCTTGTTCTCCCAGCGGGCGCGCAAGGGACGGACGAGAGAGGACGCGGGCGCCATTTGCCCAACCGGCACGGCGGAGGAGAGGGCGGACGGGGCGGGGGCGGAGGCGCGTTCCCAGAGCCTCGCGGGCGGGAATGAAATTTCCAGGGCGTCCTGTTTGCCCGGCCCCGACGGCGGCGGGCGAGCGGGCGGGCGGCGGCCGCGGCGCCGCAGGCGGCAACGGCGGCGGCCATGACTCACGACGCCGGGAGGGGGGGGAAGGGCGGTGGGTGGCGGGTGGTGGCGCGGCCGAGCCCCGCAGCCGACGGCGGGCGCGACGCCCAGCCAGCGCCGACGCGCGCGCGCCTTTCTAGGAAGGTCATGCGCTTATCGCGACGTTATCTTGCCCCTACCGGACTACACAATAGCGCTCTCCGCGCCCCCCGCGGTCCGCCCCGCGCCCCCCCTCGCGGCCAGATAACGGCGTTAATTGCCGCGCGAGCGCAGGCCGCCGTCCCCGCCGCCTGTGCGCGCCAGGCGCAGCGCGGCGCGGCGCCGCGCCGCACAGCCCGTTGAGCGGGAAGTAGCCCAGCGCACCAGGGGTAGCTTAACGAAACCTCTTTTCCTCGACTTTCCTCGACTAAGGGTAAAATTGAAATTAAAGGTTAATGACAAAGTATCTAATCCTCACATCTTGATGTACGAATCTTCAATAAAAACTATCTTTGATTTGAATATTCTAAATTAACTACTGGAACATGATCTAACATTCTCAGAAAGTACGATTTGGAGCTAAAACTTCTCGAGAAACACGAGGCAGTGTCGTTCGAGAACTTTGTGCGACGGTAGAGGAAGAAGAGCATGCACTGGCCGCACGTGGGGCTTCCTCCTCCGGTTTGTCTTTGTGTGGCTGCTTCGCAGAATCCGCGAGTGCGTAGGCGAGCGTCACAAGGGCGGTGGGCTTTTCCTCAGCAGAGTGGCGGCGGCAACGGCGACGTTGGGCCTCGTCGGCTCGGCTCGTTCGCTCGCGGCACCAGCACCAGTAATTTCGCGGCGCCGCGGCGCGCGGAGGCTCCGTCCCGACGCCGCCGCGCCCTGCCCGCCCCGCCCCGCTCCTCTCCT